ATGAGCCACTTCTGACATCTACTGATCTTAAGAAGGATAACACATTTTTCTTGTGCTACAAATATTCCTCAGAAGTCAAGTTGTGCAGCTGAATGTTATGCTGATGATGATGAAAAATGTTTCGAAGCTAATGAAAAGCTTCAGTATATTTGGTGTATTTTCAGAAAAAAAACATGATTGCTTTTTATATGTTATGATTGTACTGTGAAGTATGTATGGTTAAACCCTTCCAGAAAAGATTTTGGTCCTATCAGTCTTTCAGTGTTTATTCCACACTCACATTTTAATTACCCAATCAAACTTAGTTATTGGCTCAAATGTATGTATTTAATCCTTACAACATTTTATTGATGATGTTGAAAGATTCATCTACACATATTAATACAATATCAAGTACCTTTTCTTCTGTGGCAGGATCCTCAAATGATTTGTGATTCAAACATTGTGCATTTTTTAAATTTTAAATGATTTATAACTGTAAATATGAGCCTGTCACTTCATAGACTATAGATACTTGTTTTTTGTTATAGGCTACAGACATAGACATTGATATTTGTATTGACAATTTGCTGCAATCCCCCCCCACCACCACCTTTCCCGCAAACCATCAAATTCTTTACTGTTACTAAGGTGTGGAGGAGACCTCTTCCCCCACCGCCATCTCAATCCAAAAGTGGGTGCACAACAGCGCGTGCACATTATCAGCCGAAACACATTTTAATCTTCTGTTTCCTTAACCACAAATTCCGGCGTCTGAAGCACTTGTTTGAGGTGGAATGTGGTGCAGTATAGTTGCTGCATCCCATGCATGGAGGCCCACGTTTCCTTGAGTTCAGCACAGTTCTTTCCTATGAAGTACTTTGGGATCCTGATTATAAGGAAATGCACTGTATAAGATCTTCTTGTCCCTGATTTAGCTCTCTCTGCTACTGTGTAGGTTACATCACAGCCTTCTAATTGGACGCTGGACTGAGAGCAGCATTTTATATCACAGAGGTAAACAAGGATGCAAGACAGCAAGAAAGAAAGCAAAAAGTAAAGAAGTACTGTGAGAAAATAACACCTGTGTCAACAATGACAATAAACAAAAAGGATATTGTAGCTGTTTAACCAAAAGAGTGAGAAAAGGTAGGAGTGTGTGTTAGATTATCAGCACTTTTTTTTCACTTTCCACTTGCCCAACTTCCCTCTGAATGAATTTTAATTTCATTATTCATTCTCTGTCTTTAAACAATGTTTGCTTGCTGTCTGCACTTGTCTGCTTTTGTAAAGATGCAGGTTATGTTTGATATGCTTAGACTTAGGCATTCAGACACAGAGTTGCATTTTCACGCTTTCAAATGTTATGTAATCTTTCAAATATAACATAGATGTAGGAATAAAAAAACACTACATATCAATATTTGATTTTATTTTTCATTTGGCTTTTTCAGAAATTCTTACTGACTAGTACAGTGAGACAAGACTCAGTCAATCCACCTGGAGCCTGTGAAATGTGAAAGTATTTTCAGTCTCTTCTTTACTCTACATTAACTCTACATGCACATGTCCTAGTATTCAACTAAGGGAAGAAAACATCTCTAAGAGATCTAAAAACATAAAAAGAACTTGAAAAGACCCGTCTTTTGTCTTTTGGCAGTGAATAGGAGGCAATGGAGATACTACCAGATGAATAATGTAAATACTGTTCTAATTTACTGAACTACTGAGCATGGAGATGTAGAACATTCCACACATAAAGTGTGTACACTTAAGTGCCTCATAGGGAACACCAGCTGTTTATTCTGGCTCTGGAAGTGGAGCATGTGCTAAAAGTCACAAAAGCATTGCCCACATCTGAAGACATCTGAAAGACACTGCTATTACTGAGGTTGGCTTTAAGTACGAATGTGACGTTGAACACAAAACCAATAAATGCAGTCCTTAATAAAAGGAGGGGAAGCCAGGGAGTGAGTTCTCCTTGTTAAGAAAGACACCTCTATTCCTCCTTTCATGTCCATTATTATGCTACGGCAAAACCTCACTTAATCTCTCATGATTGTGCAGACTCTCCTCTATCATTAAACCTTACCAAATTATTGTTCTTCTTACAGTAGTCCTGATAATCCTCATTTCCTTTTATTGTTTTTTTTTGCCTGATATGTGGTTACAGATTCTCGATTAGTATTTCTTCCAATACTTCAAGGTAACATTTTTAGACAAAACCATCTGAGAAGACTTATTTGTAGTTTGTTTAAACAAATATGGTGGCAAAGAGAAATAGCACACTACCTTGAACCTCATTAGAGAAGCACAATGAAGATGAACAAACTTTGTCAAATGTCTGCCTAACTTAAATTTTGACTGTGTTTTCTGCTTAGACCATTATACAATGTCAGTCTGAGAGGAAGCAAGTTTTTTACATGGGATGAAGGCTATGCTTCATTTATAGAATTTGGCAAAGTTAGTAAAGCTTTGTAGCACATCAGATAATTTAGGTATTGTATATCCCAACTTCTATATTCTAAAATATTAAGAAACTACCTAACTAATCTTGGAAATATACCCATAATAAGAAAGTTAAGTCCTTCCTCAAATGTAAACCTGGTCTTCACTTTAACCCTTCCCCAAAATTAACCCTAATCACAAAGTCTAACTCCGAGAATTCATAACCCTTCAAATGTTACAGCTAATGCAACACCTACCACCACCACCCCCTTTTCAAAACTGCATTATGATTAAAATGCATATCAGTGGTTTTCTTACATGAGCAAAACTTGTTTAGCTATAACAAAAAGGGTTAAAATGACCACACAGAAAATACTTTGACATTCTGGGACTAAGAATAAGCAATTTTGCCGCACAACTACAGTGTACACTGTTCTGTGGTAAAGCACCATTTCTCTCTCTTTATATCTATAAGATGCATTGTCTTGCAAAAGTATTCACCATCTTACTCTTACTAAAATACACCCTCTTAAAATGTCTATTTTGTTGAATTACTAATGATGTGCACACATGTGCTGAAGTGAACTATCAGTTCTTCTGCAGTGTGTAAGTGACACAAAAGTGGCCCAGTGGCCAGACACAGACCCATTTGCAACAGTATCTGGTGGGGGCAGCTAGAGATTATGTCAGTCTTGAAATCCTGGCCGTCTTTCCTACAAACAGAGGCCAGTAGTGGATTTAAAGTAGCGCTGTTATATGCTTAAACTATTTGATTGTAAGATTAGTGAGCATTAGGTGATTATCTGATTGATCTAATTAAATTGCAGTGGTATAAAAGAGGCTGTCTTGTACAATAATCCATTCATAAATAACAGGAATTAATATCAGCCTAAGAAACTATAAAACAACATATATTTTATATTTACTCCAAACAAATATTTAATAACTTTATATTTAATAGAAAGCAAGACAATATGATAAACTAAAAACATACTTTACAAATTAAGATGGCACAGCATAAGATTTGTAATAAAAATAAGTAATCACCCTTCAATTGTGTCTATTTATTGGCTGGGCTACAATTTAAATGACATAATCGTATGGAACCATTTAAGGTTGTTAATTGAAGCAACTTGCAAAAGTTTTCTCTTTCTAAGCTCCAAAGTGTGCGCAGCATGGAAAAACTTTGTATTTCATTTTTACTTATGCCCAAAGAAATGCTTTATGTGATATTAGTGGATAATGCTTAATATCACCCAGAAGATCTTACTCAGACTTGACATTTCTGCAAAGCTTTGATCTACTGAAATTCTAATTTAATTTAATACAAAGTATTTCTGAGATTTCTGATTGATGGCTTGTAACCCTATATTTTGTTTTAAAATATATTTAAATATACAACTCTTTTAACTCAACAAACAGAGACTTTGTAAAGAGTGCATGAGTAAAATTTGAAAAGGATCATCTCTGATCACTTCCTAAATTGTTCATTTGGCTTATCTAATATTGTGATCAAAAAGCCCTAATTTATAGCTGTGGCTATTATTTTACAAAGCAGTCTCAGGCCTACACTCTCCCAGATCACTGTGCCAACTACAGTGGATAATGTGCTGCTACATGGTTTAAATGCCCACTTTAGGGTCCTCTTCAGTGACAGAACTTTAGACCTACCCTACTGTATATCACTTCTCCTGCAGAGTAACAGGTGGAGTACTTCTACTGCACACTGCTAACTAGGTACTCCAAGGGGAAACATCTGGAACTCCATCAGAAATCAGCCAGGTGGATGCTGCACATTGGTGGTGGTGGAGGGGAGACCCCATTACCTGTAAAGTGCTTTGAGTGGAGTGTCCAGAAAAGTGCTATATAAGTGTAAGCAATTATTATTATTATTATTATTTATTAATAATAATAATAATAATAATAATAATAATAATAACATGCTGAGCCCTTACAAGTGGATTGAACTGGCATATCTGGAACTGGATAACAGTGAAGAGGCCAAAGCAGCTGTCCTGAGGCAGAGCAGCTCAAGGACCTGATCTGCTCTAATGGGAAATACGTATCCAGATCTGACGACCAGCCCTCATGTCATCGTTCATCGCCTTTCCTCTGGAAGATGCAGAGACAAGCCCCTGCAAACACAATTGTCGTTCAAGAAGGAGTACTGTTAGGGCTAGTAGTTCAGATAGTTAATCTTTCTCTCTGAGCAATTTATTCGTTCTACCGGTAAGGAGCACTGCACTACGTTTGGTTACCTAATACCTTCCAGATAAACCAAGAAAGGCACTAGTTGAAACGTGAACCGATTCACCGCATTAAAAGACAGACAGAAAAAGACAGAAAAACTACAACGGCCAGATTACTTTCTTGTCTCACCCAGTTCCTGACATAAACTGTCTCGCGACATTTTTTCACCGATGTAGTTTCTCACATTACCTTCCCACCTCTGAATTCGTCAGGATAAGACCGAGAAACAACGACAACATCCAAGATGCAACTGTGTTCACAGCCCTTTCAACTGGGTGACAATCTGGTTGGTTTTTTTTTTCGTGTGAGGACCTTTTGCACAGTTCCTTCCTGTCTGTGTTTGTGTCGAATGCGTGGTGTGTGTGAGTGAGCGAGAGAGGGGAAAGCGTGGTGCTTGGAAGTCTGGGGAGATCTGGGCCTGTTTTGTAAATATTTAAGAAAATATTAGTTATTTTTTATTTCTAAACCTGAATAACCAGGTTTGGCAGTTTATTTTTGTAGATTACTGTTAATATATTTAAAATACACGAGGATTCCCTAAAGATGTCTTCAGGTTGTCAAAAGACCACAAGCAGAGCAATCCCAACACGACGAGTGATTGTCAACGACGCTACCCAAATGCCGATTGATTATTCAACAACACCAGGAGGAACATTATTCAGTACAACCCCGGGAGGTAAAAGCAAACATGTACATTGTTAAATTGAATTTTGCTTTATTTTAAGGAGTATCTTCTTTTCAGTATTAAATACAGTGCACATCATCGTACTTGATTTCAAGCTGTTGCTATTGTAGTATCTGCATACCCCGGAAGATAAATACTGGTTTTATTATAGTGCCGTGTGCTGTTTCTTTCTGTGCTTTTTAAATGCCATTGTTGTTGCCCTCGCCACGCCTGCGTTTTCGGTGTGGTGAAACGCAAAGAAAAGACATCTTTGGATTTTCGTTTTGTTAATTCTGTGTTATTGATCACACTCAAGGGTTTTCTAATTGTCATCAGTACAATCGTTGCCCAAACTAAAAATAAAAACACAACGTTCTTTCTCAGGTGGTTTTGATTGCTGATCGATGGAATTCTAATCGATTTGTTTACAAATCGAAGAATTGCATTAATGCGCATGACATAATTTAGGAGATAGATAAGGTTCATTGCTTGAATGTAGAAATCAGACGGGGGGTATATTTTAAGGCAGTACGGAATTTCTTTTATCATGTCTCTTAATTTTAAATGCTTTAAAACGGCAGTTTTTTTTCATTTGTTTTAACTGGTAGAAATCTTCAAATCAATGTGACGTCAGCTTTTACAGTGCTGCGTCTCGCATTTCCTTTGGTAAGGGCCTGTACGTGAAAGGCGGGCGTTTTCCCTGGTTTAATGCAAACTCTCAAATGCTGCACTTAAAAGTATTTTTTGTAAGGAATTTGTATACTTCCGACGATTTATCGAATTGACGTGAAGTTTAAAATATATTTTAAGAATACCTACATCACTGACATTTTTCAGGCTAACACTACAGTAAACCCCCTGTTCGTGCGTGCAAATCGGGAACTGGTATGTCTGGTTAACATCTCCATACATACAGTATGGCCACGCGTTCCACATTCTTCGTTTAAAGTGGCTGGCGTGATCTCATTCCATGCTGTGGTAGTGTTGTAAATTGCAACTGCAAACGCTGCTTCTTTCCTAAAGGTTTCTCAAAGCATCAAACTCATGTGCTGTGTGTCCCTCAGTACAGCGCTAATGTGGTCTTTTTTGTGTGTCTCTGCTCCCTTGGTCCTGTTGCTGGAAAAGGGAAGTTCAATGAAGGAAAAGGATTTTGAAATTCATCCACCAAATTAGATAGGTACAGCAGACCCTTAACCATGGACAATCGGCATTGTGAAATTTAAATCTCTATGTAATTTATAGTGATTAGTGAAGGCTACTTTATAAAGTAACTCATTAATACCTACTGTAATGTGTATAGTATTAGAAATTATTGGCCTTGTCCATACTGAGCTGTGTATGGAGTGAAAAAATAATAATTTTCCAATGTTAAACAGACATTATTAAATGCTTGGCTTTGACTGGTGATTTAATGTATTGATTAGATTTGGGTAGAATGCATTTCAGTTTTTTGTGTCCAACAGTTATTTGTTCCTATTGACTTTTTTGTCTATATTCATAGCTGTATTGGACAAACCCACATTGGACAAGGGTTTTGATGAACTCTAATAGCAGTTGGCCCAATAGCTGCAAATTCTTTTATTGCTAATATGATTTTGCATTGAGTGAATTATAAACTGCTCACACAGTGGGTATAATTAATAATTTATGTGTTTCATTTACATATGTGTGTTAAGTGTAGAAACTAGGGTAATTTGTGGAGTATCTCATGGATCTGTATTTGTGCCTTTTTTATTGTTTACATTTTAAAATCAATTTTCTAAAATAGTAAAACCACTACATAACCTTAACATATTGGAATAATGACAAAATTAATATTTTTCCTAGACTTGCTAAGAAAGTATGGGTATTTTTCTGGGTATTGTTTTACACAACAGCCATATTAAAGTGATTAGCCTCCTTTTATGGACAGTACCTGTGCTCAGGTCCTAGATATACAAAATCAAGCTACCACATACAAGTCTGCCTTCTTTATAATGTGCTCAGTTTTAAGGTGCATTGGTTATCTCTTGTCGACTGTTTTTCTGTCTAGTGTGGCAGGGCTTTGGCCAATTGTCATAATCAATAAGTGCCAGCTGCCAGCGAAGTCTCAGTTTTGCAGGCTTGACGATGGATCTAGTCAAAGGATTGATATTGCCTTAATTGTTACATGAGAATAAACACTGATATTTCACAGTGACAGCAGCATTGGTGGAGAGCGCTTTATCTAAGGCATCCTGACATTAATACTTAGCTGTAAATAGATTACTTGAGCCTGAAAGCTGGTAGAATGTAGAATGCAGAGGACAAATTCTGTATTTTTTTTTCCATAGTGTGACTAAGGAGTTCCATGAGTAATTAAACAACAGTGGATATGATCCTTAAAATAGCAACCCACTATCTGAGGTGGGCTAAAATGCTTCATCTCTTTTGTAACCTTTCATTTCTTGTGTTAGAAATTTTAGTTTTAGGATTATGGCAAAGCCACCATGACAGAGGATCACAAATGATGGAGGAAAGTGTTTTGGAACTTTTAAGCTTGTCGGTACTAATAGTACTGTCTTGAATAATCCGACATTCAATTCTGACCATAGCCACACACAAAAAAATTGTTTATTTTTAAGAATTGCTTATTGTGACATCTTAATTCGGTTTTCTGTTAACATTGCAATATCCTGTGTAAGTGCAAGCTGCAGTCATGCCATGTCTGTGTTCTGCAATTCGGCTAACAAGCAGAGACTATCAGCTATCGGCAGAACTGATGACTGTGGCGCAAGATGTAAAGTCAGATTGCAGATGGTAAAGCAGTATTTACAATATTATTTGAAACTAGCCAAGTGATAAAAATTGAAATCCAAAACCCTGTTTAGATAGTTTTTTTTTTCCTACTGTAAAACCAGGTAATCATTAACCAGATCAGTTGACAGCTCCATTGTTTTTTTCACACTGCAATTACTTAAGTACCAGCTGAACTCTTCCCAGCTATGGTATGTAGTTTGCCTGATAGAGGTATTTATAGACAGTCCTTGAAATGCTTGTGTGAAGTACAATATGATGAACTGAACTTTAACTACTTCATTATTAAACTATGGAAAGGAGGAACCATCAATACATGTAAAAACTGCTGTACCTTGTGTTGTGCTTTCCTTTTCTTTAAAATGGGCAAGTTTACCCCCAAAAAAGCAAGAATGCCAGGCAGCAAAAACAGTTGCTCACATGCTGTTGGAGAAAATCTTAATTCTAGGACTAGCACTCAGCCTCACGTGGTCTCCATCAGGTCAGAACATTATGGTCTCTACTGTGTTCAACCACAACCCAAGGACAAAGGGCCTTACAGAAATACTTGTTATGACTTAAATATGCATGACAAAATCTACCATCCAAACAATAAATACTCAGTACACATAAAGGATTCTCCCCCTGAAGTTGAAATTTCGAGTATCGCTTTAATTGTTTAAGCTTTCAGTACAACCCTCCACTCCCTTTTGTTGTGGAAAGTATTAATACAAAATAAAGGCTGCTGATGTCCTTCAACCCATGGACTTGTATGTAACGTTTAATTGATTGTCCAGCCAGGTTACATTCTAACTATAGAAATGTTAGGCATTTGCAGTAGTTGAGGGCAACATGGAAGCACAGGATCAGAACAAATGCTGTTCATGGGTCTGTTAGTGTGTGTGGGGGGGGAATCGGGTGACATTTTGCTTTACAGAAGACATATTTACTTCAGGACGGCATGTTCTGGAACTTAAGATGAGATTTGGATATGGCAGGATGGAAAGTAGCATGTTATGGAGGTGTATTTATAGGGGAGAATTGCACAATTTCCTGACAAGCAGGTTGTAGGATCTCTTCCCTTTACACAGCAATGTGTACAATATGTTCTGAAGCTCGTGGTACAGCTGTTGCTCCAACCATGAGACAGCTGTGGCTAGAGAAAAAAAAATTGTTGATATGTTGCTGCAATCAGTCACCCCAGTTTTGAGTTTACTATGTAGGATAAGTTCTGCGTTTTCGATCAATCGTGTATGCAGTCAACTTCAGTTTCTTTTAAATAAAATTGAAGCCTTTTTAATCTTCACCCCTAAATTTATAAAATAACAAAACAGAGGTCTACAACATGGAGTCCAGCAAGAGAAAAATTAAAAGTCTTTACCTAACAATCAAAGTTCAAATTCTTGGATCTTGGTTGGGAAAAAATGAGTATATAGTATTACACAGTAGAATACAAAAGAATACACAGCAGAACTTGCAAGGAGATAATAAGTTACAGTAAGTTGTCGTTCACACAGTTTACAACCGCAAAGCCAAAAGTAAATTCATTCCCATAGAAAATCAGTTTTACATTTGTTAGAGTTTAAAGGAAAACTGATGAACAGGTGTTCCTTCTGATAAAGAGAAGAGAGTGTGGCAATGGTTTTTGTTTTGTATTTTCGTCTATACTCCCTGCCTTTACAGGTTGTAACTTAAACTAGAGTAATACTCTGTCTGCAGTTTCTTTAAAAAATCTAATTGTAAAATTGTCTCTACCACCTCAACATTGAGCAGACAAAAATGCAAGACTAAGAATAATTTGTATCTGATGTCGATACATCTTGGCCTATTGATTGCTGTTGTGGCTCCTTTGAAGTGAATCCAGTTAAAAGAGCAAGGTATTCAGTTTGATTTAAATGGAAAATTTGACTAATCAAATTTGAGAACTGAGGACTTAAAAAAAGCAGAATGTAGGTGCTAGAATATTGGTACAGTACATTCCTATTTTAAAATACATGAGTCTTCTGGTTGTTTCAGACTTATTTTAAACTGATGGACACATGTGAAGTCTCCATGCAGTTGTTTCCAAGAGGCAATTAATTTTAATTAGGTAATGGGGACTCTCCTCCACAATCACCAATGTGCAGCACCACCTGGATGACGCAATAGCAACCATAATGCATCATTACGCTCATCACTGGGGAGGAAAACAGAGTGATGAAGTCAGAAGAGATGGGGATTTTTAGGAGGTCATAATTAGTAAAGGGAAATTTGGCCAGGACACTGGGTTACCACCCCTACTCTTTTTGAGACATGCTCTGGGATTTTTAATGATCACAGATCATTAGTCAGGAGCTCAGTTTTACCTCTCATCCGAAATATGGCACCTTTTTTACAGTAATGTGTCCCCATCACAATACTGGGGCATTAGGACCCACAAGGACCATGGGATGAGTGCCCCCTGCTGGCCCCACTAACACCACTTCCAGCAGCAACCTTTGCTTTCCCTGGAGGTCCCTCATCCAGGTACTGACCAGGCTCACACCTGCTTAGCAGCAGTGGGTTGCCAGTTGTGAGTTGCAGGGTGATATTGTATTGTATCATATCCATGTCAAATTTATTATTAAAATGAAAAAGTCTCCTAAGGTTTTTATATCCTTATCTTTTTTTTCTCCTTGCCTCCTTCCCTATTTTAGGCACTAAAATTATCTATGATCGCAAGTTCCTGATGGAATGTCGCAACTCCCCTGTGGCTCGAACCCCACCTCGGTTTCTCCCCAACATTCCAGGGGTCACCAGCCCCAACAGAGAGGAGGACAAACCTGGAACCAACCACACCGAACCGAACCACGTTGCAACCAACAGCAATCACCTGGACAAGCCGTCTGGTAAGTTGTTGACTGATCTGGGAGAAAAACAGAAGGAAACGTTTTGAAGGAGTGAAAAATTTAAAAATTGAATGTTTTTCAAGCGGTGAATAAAGGCATTATTTTGTTGGTAAAAAAAACACTTTCCATAAATATTTGTACAGCTGCCTGGGCTGTTTTATTCCTAGATAATGAAATATGATTAGAATCCAAGATCCATAACTTTTTCCTTAAGATTTAGTTAAGCTTGTGCTTAACTTAAGCTTACCAGTTGAGCTTATTGACACCTGAAGAAGGGTCCACAGCCGAAACGTGTTTCTTTTCTTCTCTGTTCAGCATGGAATAAACCTTTACTTGTTCCTTTGCAGCCTATACATGCTGAAGCAGCTACCTATTTGAGATTATTGTATACTTCTTTAATTGGCCTGGTAAACCACTTGGAATTATTCAGGAAAATCCTCTTTTATATCTTCAGGGGATGACGCACAGTTCGAGATGGACATCTAAGACATGCAGAGGATCTCTATTCCAAAGAGAAAGAAATATGACGACAGAGGGAGAACAAATAAGAGAGGTGTTTAAGTCAACACTGTTTGGCTATAGCCCACTTTCTGAAGTCTCAGTGACCAGTTACTCTCTCTTCTCTGCAAATTTGAGTGAAAAATAAATAGGGCGGAAAATTATTTTGTTTGTACTACAATCAAGGTAACTACTGAGAATAAATTTGTGTTGCTGCTATCAGTGCACATTTTGGAAATTTGGTACCTGGGTGTCTAATCCACCCTGTGTTATACAGTATGAATGTGTGTACTTCTACAGAGAACACAGAATGCACCAACTTAAGTGAAAATCAGTAGGGTAAATTACATTGTGTCAGAAGCCAGAATTTTCTGAGTGAGATACATTAATACAGTTTCTTGTTCATTCAGTTCTTGTTTATGTAGAACCACAAGCTCTGAAAATGCCAAGCCAGGAACCCAAAGACCTGTTTTTTTTCCGGTTTCAGGATTTTTGTATTACTTCAAAAGCACAAGCATGATAAAGTATTTAGTGCATAAATTACCATAAGTATTTGCCAAACAACCTACAAAAAATTGATTTCTCTCCCAAAGTATCATTTCAGAATTAAAAATACATTTTTTATTGCTGGTAATGCTGGACATGAAGAAGCACATTTTACCAGGATATAATGATGGAATCAGGAAGAAATAAACAAAATACATGACACCTAGTCTTGTCGTTTTTTCTTTGCATGCCATCTGTGTTTTGGATGGTGGCTGTAATTATATAGCCATCTGTGTAGCACCTTTCCACGATGACCATCATTATGAAGTGATTTTCACAGTTATGTCACAGCAGGATGTAGTAAGTGCAGAGTGCAAAACTGAAGGGCAAAAATGTTTCAAATAAGACTGATAAAGGTCAAATTAATGCTGCTGTATGTCTGCTGAATTCTCATTAGTGAGGACTTTGGGAATGCGTGCAAATTACAAATTTTTTTTGTCATTTGTAGACTAGAGCAGCTGTCAATCCGGCTGCTTTGTTGTTTGCACACAGGAGAACCGCACACCTTTATGCAGCCTTAATCTGTGGGTGGCATTGAAAATGTTTAATTAGTGAATTAGTGAACAGTGAGGTGCACTGTTAACTGTAGTGACTGGTTATGGTTTCGTAGTTCCCTGAATTTGATCAGGGTTAAACACATTTATAGTTTGTCAATTTAATAGAACTGTTTTTAATTCACAGACAAAGTTTCTAAGACAGTTGGTGATTCTCAACTGGTTGGGTATAAAACATTTGAAAGACAGTCTTTACATACAGCAATACTTAATTGTGCATTTAAAAAATGTAATTCTCCAGTTTCCCTCAGTTTTAAGAATTTGTAGCATATGTACTGTAGTATGTGTATTAAGGTATAAATGGTAAAAATTAAATTGTACTGCTGAAGGTAGAACAACTAGACAGTCACATTGCTAAGTCCAATGTCTCCTGTTCTATTTCATAGCCTGTATTTATGTGGTCATTCCAACTTGCCTTAGTTACTTGTAACTTGTATTCCTTCTAAAAGTGGTATACTTTAATTTTCTGTGCAAAAACATTATTTATTTTAAATGGGTGCATTTAGTTTTTTAGGTAGTCGTAATAGTATATGAAATAATATTGGTTTCTATAAACACAGCAGTATTTTAAAGCCAGTTAACTTCATTAGTCAGTTCTTATTTAAAATACATGTTAGCTTGAATGTCTACTCCCTGCAATTTATTTAATACATGGGGAAATATTTTATTAAATACATCTTACATGGGGAAAATTATCAAAAGATTACTGGTCTATAAGGCTTATGGTCTGTAATAACGTTTCTTGGTTTTGCCGTCTTATTTATGGGTGGGAGCTCATTTGCATTTCTTTGGTCAATGGGCTGAGTGTGAAAGATTATTAGAAGTCTTTAAATATCAAGATTCCAAAAGTACAATTCATAGAACTGCTGTTAAACTAAACATCGCCCTCTGAAGGTTTATTTTAAGTGCTTCTAAATATCTGTAGCAGTTCTACCTTTTCAGTAGTTCAACATTTAACATACAAAGAAAATATTCATTCATATATCTGTAATTTACCACTTTTCCGCGTTTTCCATCACTGAGACACTAAATCCTTTGAGTTCTCCTTAATTGAATGGTTTTTATTTTTAACCTTTTTATGGAGTTAACGCTTTTAGGGCAGAAAGATTCCCCTTTAAGAAAACTCACTCAAGTGATTCCACTTATTGTAGATTTAAAACAAATACTATAGGGTAATGAAGCCAGGAATATTTGTAGTCTGTTTAATAAAGCAGGATTTCAAGGCGTGGGAACTCGTGAGACGAGGGATTTCTCATCCTTTTAGTCCAATGGAAATGGTGTAATAATTTAAACTAAATGTTTTGCCAGTGGACACGGTGTTCTATTTTTTTGTTTAACTGCTCTACAGGGGAGTGAATTAATCCCGGATGCATTCAATCCGTTTGCTTTTAGAAAACGCGTTCTATTGATCTGTTAAAATTGCTCGTTTATAATATGAATACATATTCTACTTTCTCCGTGGTACCGTGGAACAACCATGAATACACCTTGCTATTCAGCTGGAATCTTCGTAGACTAACACCATTAAACTTCGACAATAGTCTCTTACGTGATTGATTAACTCTTGACAATACACATCTTGTAGAAAACGATTCAGATAAACAAAACGTGTCTGGTTTCCACTACAGCTACGTAGCCGCGACGAGTCTCTGCCTCCAGTAGCCAGTTGCACGCTGATCAAAGAGGCAACAGTGGCCGCAGGGCTAGAATATTCAGACTTTAGTTACTGTCGACAAATTAATTAGGACACTATTGTGACGTTAACCTTGTGAATAACTGGAAGAGCCGGTTTTAATGGTTTAGGAACTGGTTACTACCTCTACCCCCAGTACCGCTTACAAAATCAATTAAATGTGTTGAATGGTTCAAATAATAAGGGTTTTTGTAAAATCCTTGCCATGTCCTGTATTGTTGCTGCTAAGGTAAGAAAAATCACTTGCAATGACGTAGCCCCCTTTAAATTTCGTAGTCGTCTTTATAAATTTCATCAAGGTAATAAAGTGTCTTTTTATTCATTAACAGTTCGTAACAAGACTCGAGCGCCAAACTGCATTTTACGTTGTAGGGGTAAAGGGAATATGCATGCTTTAAGTTGCCTTAAACCGAAGTTGGTTTTAGTAGCTTGCATAATCAAAACCACCAGTTTTATTTTATTGATTTCTGCACTTGTTATTTGTTTACAGACACCGTTCGTGTCTTTAAAATCACATTGACAAAAATGTATTCAATAGATACCTCAGTTATAATACTACATATTAATAAGAATGCATTTATCTGTGAAAGATAAACACATCCCAATATTAAAAGCACTACAATTATTAAATCCTCATTTGAGGCAATTAAGTTTTAAGTGCCTGAAATGTCTGAGTCTGCATAATGTTTTTAGCACTGCACTAACTTATTTTTTATATGTTTATGATTAAAGATACAACTGAGAAACGAGCTTTGGGTCATTTCTGAGTGGTCTAAAATACAAATTGTTTTGACTATTATCAATTTTTGAACTACTTTATCTAACACAGGGAACCAATCCCAGCAAGCAACAAGCACAAAGCAAGATATACAGTACACTGGATGGGATGCCAGTCTATATCAGGGCACACACAGACATGCATATGGTCTCCTCAGGGTCATTTATTTCCCCATAGACCGATTAATTTACCAGTATGTCATTGGAATATGGGAGGAATTCCATGTGAACACAGGGAGAACATACAATCTCTACACACCCCAGTAATTGAACCTACAGCCACAGAGCTGCAAGGCAGCAATGCTATCCAATGCGCCACTGTAATGCTCTATTTTCCAAATTTTGATTCCATCACTGAAATAAATGTATATTTAAAACCATATTAATATGAGCAATCCAAAAGGTAGATGAACTGTTTTGTCATAGTACTTCCATATCTGTGGTACAGAACATTTGGTCTTTACAGTCTTTAGTATGACCAACAAAGTATGAGAAGATATGCATGATGCACAGGTCTAGGGTACTACTGTATACCACTGTATGTATCTGTTCTATTTCTTGCTTAGTAATATCTTTGCTGGATTCTGAATGTAAAATCGGAAACAACTGTGTACCTCAAAATCAAAATTCAATATCTTTACTCATAATGATCACCTCCACACCGACAGGTACTGTGCTGTGAATCCTAAAATGAAATGATATGCTATGAAAGAGGGGGGTGAGAATGAATGCAGCTGGTTAACATTCATAACATTAAGCAATATAATCTGCTTAATCTACTTTGTGTAATTGTGAAGGATAACATTGGAAATTAATATTTATAGCAACAAGTATAAATGACTGACAATAAACAGCAAGAAAAGGCTAAAGGTACTTTAAAGAGCAGTGGGGAAAGCACGTTGGAGAAAAACAATTCCTATTTTGTACTGTTTTCTGATATAAAAGATATCAGCTTTAGAAATATCTATCATAAATTGTTTAGCATTATTAGTGGAAGCATGGGCATAATTTCTAGATGCTGTCTGTGCTTAAAGTAATTAAAAGGTACAATATCTTTCTCCATTCATCTTCCCTCACTTCTCAGGCTGCTTTATAGCAACCAAAAGCTACAATATTTTATTTTCTATTGACTTTTATACAATGGACGAAATCAGTGGGGCTGTCTTAGTTTTGTTTCAGTGTTACAGAATTTGTGGAGTAATGCCAAATACACCAATTTGACAGTGCAATTAGTAATTTATTCGTTTTGATTGTAAGCAACCCCCTCTTTAATCATCTCGCAACACTATCCCAACAGTTCTTTCAGTCTTTCTCCACCCAGGACACCTGTTCTTTGAAAGCAGATTAGTGTAGAATGGCCCTCTTTCACACTTTCAAATTAGAAAGGAGAACTACACCCAACACAAAACAAATACATACAAACGCCCCAAAAGAACCTGATTAGTGGTATAATGATCAGAATACACTGAGACCAAGTATTCCCACAGATCCTAATGTTCACACACCTTTTGTTAACATAAAGGTTAACTTTGGATAACAGTTTAGGGCACCAATCTGCAGCACCTGCAAAATTCATTCCTTGGTGACAAATCATAAAAAAACATATTTACTGGTATAATATGAAGTTACTTGAAAATAATTTGTCTCTGTAGAGAGCTATCTAATGTTAGGTTGATGCCGGAGGAAGCAGAATGCAGACATTCCTTTCAGGAAAATTACCTATAGATTATGTTGATTAAATTTTGCAGAGTACGCTAAACCATGACAAAACACAAAAAGTAGGAGTCATGGTGAATTTTGAAAATTAATTCCCAAAATTAAGGTCCTAAAAATTGTTAGCATTAAGAGTGATTGAAGTAAGATGGTCTATGGCAGAGAACACATTAAACAAAATACTATGTCGATCATGCCAGGTCCACAAAAATGTAATGAAGAAGAAGGAAATTTAAGTCTCTTAAAGGATATACATATCGAACCACATTTTCAGACAAACGTTTGTAAACCTGTTTGAAAAAAGCCTGCAAAAATATATTTTGACGGTAAACTCTTGAGTAGAGTATAATACATTCATCCCTCCACTTTATGATCACTTTATCCATTACAGGGTCATGGGAAAGTTGGAGTCTATCCCGGCAAGCAATGGGCACAAGGCAGTATACACCCCGGACAAGATGCTAGTTCTTCTCAGGGCACGTCAGGGTCAGTTGTCCCAGAAGGCAATTAACCTACTAGTATGTAATTTTTTGCTGTTAGTGGAAAATGGAACAACCAGAGGAACCTCCAATAAACATGGGGAAAACACACCCAACACCACACAGATAGCACTCTAGTAATTGAGCCTCAGGTCCCTAGAGATGCAAGCCAGTAATAATAACCTCTATTCATAATACAGAAAATATTAAGAGAAACATTAGGCAGAATGTTGCACACAGAGTGCTGGAATACCATTCACCCCTCAGTACCCTGAATAGAGCCATTTCTTAGTACATAAGATATAACTACAGAAATTGTAATTTAATTAAAGTCTTTCTCAGAACTTCCTGTTTGAGAAATGCAGCCCTTAAGTTATTTAGTGCTGGGTAATTCAAATTACTGGCAATAGCAGTCTTTTAGTCTTTTAGTTCAACCATTTAATTACATTTGGCTGCCTAGGAGACTTTTATTAAGCTGCACTTTTCTGAATTTTCATCTAAAATGTCATTATAGATATGACATATAATTTATTTCAAAATTAAATCACCAGGAAGGCCTCATTAAATACTAAACTTCTATTCATGAGACATTCAGATACCAGTTAATGACTCATCCATGTTTTAATACATTAAAATGGAGGAAGTCATGGCCTTACAATAGATTTAGAACAGCATTCCCCTGCCAAAGTCAAATATTTTCATTATATTTATTTTAAATGTACAGCATCTCATGTGATAATCCCTAGAGAGTGTACAGGGAAGTGATATCTGCAGAGGAACAGTTGAATACTGTCTTAACAGCCCTTTTACCGCCTGCTTCTTCGTGCACACAGTAGTTTCTCATCATCTTGTCGTGAACCTCAAATGGCATGTTCTTGTGAAATTGCCAAGTGTCGGGCCCATTGAGGAATTTACTTCCTGACACCAGAACCCCCCCCCCCCTTCCTTACTGTTCCAAAGTAAACATTCTCCCCACCTTAGAATCTGAAAGGGCATGACCTCACGCAAGGAAACTGACACAGTGGAACAGAAACACTGGGGAAGAACTACAGGTTTTCCCAAAGGATAATTCTAAGCCATTTCACAGGGAGTTTACATCATGATAACAGATTTAATTGCATCTGTACTCAAAAAATGTTATCATTTAGATTTAACTAAAGGTCCATGAAATATTGTATTTAACTTTGTTTTATTTAAAAATGAATACATTTTACTTATATAACACACAGCAACCCAAGACCAGTACCCTGCACTTTTCTTTTTCTTGATTGGCAGAGCTTGTTGGGCTGTGTAGGGTTCCTCACAATACTCATAGTTTTAAATAATTTTTACACAAAATGTGTAGTTCTTTATATTTTAGAGTAAGAAAGCAGAGGAAATCCTGACCCCAAAGATAACTGCAGGAGAGACTTGACTTTGAGAGACTTCATCAATTTTTGAAAAAAACATTTTATTTTCAAATTAGGAAGAACATAGTGTCCTTTTAAACAATTATTATAATTACCAATCCATATGATTTTAAAAACATCAATTCATATTTTACAAACTACTTTAATGACCCCCAAGAATGAATCTGTGTAGCTTGATTACAACAATGGGGAACTGAAAGCTTACAAATAGCCTGAATTGCAATCTAATCAACAATATATATGATATATACATTATTCACATTTCTAATTACATGTATTTATTATAACTAAATTTTTGAAACGGTAAATATCACATCCCTGACATTAGATAACAACATACAAAAGATATATACTGTACAAGAGCTTTTATGATTTACCTTGGCCAGGAAATGACTGAAAAGTCAGTCTACACTCTGGCACAAAATATATGTATATTAAAAAACAATACCATTCCACACATTGCAAAAAGTAACATATACCTAGTTAACAAGGTCATACCTGAAGCAAAAATTCAGTATTTTATAAAAATACATTTGAAACCAGACCACCTGAGTTTCCATTCCTTTTGGGTTACTCGCATCGAGCCCCCACATCTCATTTCATGAATAAAGATAGGAAACGAGTCTTTTGCTTCTTGTGCTTCTGATTTCTAAGTGCGGACTTCTAATTTCTAAGTCCGAAGTGAATTTGAGTTACACTACGATGCTGTTAAGGGGTTCTGCTCAGTGACAGCCACACTCCTCCACCATCATTTCCTCATGATGTCGCAGTACCAGCTCTCCATTCTCGTAATAGAGCATGGAAAGTGGGCCGAGTCTTGTGGGCACACAGGATATACTTGGCACTTTGTCTGGATGGTACAGTTTCACCAGACTCTGCAGGGAGAAAAGAAAATACTTGTTACTACAAATAGAAATTGCCCTATCGTATTAAACACACACCTTAGTGTAGAAGCTTTGACACAGTACAGTACATAACATGTGTTGGTAGCAAACTATGTGAAGGTGAACGTTGTTTAAAATCGTTGTTTAAAAAGTTCCATTCATAACAATATTACGTACCTGCATGTATGCATGGTTGGTAGGATTAAATGTCTCATCCACAGGACAGGGACACTCTCCCTCACACCTGAAGGCATTGTACCGTTTCGGGTGCACGATCCACTGGTTCCAGCCAATCTGGTCAAAGTCTACCCACATGTCCACCTTCCTGCACAGTGGACTCTGGGGGCTCTCAGGTGTGGGAGCGGTGCCCCCAACATTACCGGCCAACTTCACTCTCTCCTGCCCATTCCTGTTCCTCTTCTGTCGCCGACCTGACTGGTCCACAGCTTTGTCCAGGGTAATATATTTGGAGTGCTCCACAGTGTGGATAAGGGTTGGCATACCCGTTTCCTCTCTGGAGTGGTTGTGTTTGGAGAAGACCACCATCATGACTCGGTCCACAGTCTTATGGTAGACTTTCCTCTCGCTGCTGCTCTCAGTGCTGTTGGCGTGGTGCTTGTGCTCTTGTCCCTGCTCCAGCCTCTCCTTGTGTTCCTCTTCTGGCACTTCATGGAGGGGATCCCCTATGACTGCTGCCCCCTCTCCGTTCACAAAACTCTCCCCCTGGTGGAGCCAGTACTTGAGCAAGGCTGTGACGTTGAAGATTTTCCAGGATGAGTTAGTGTCAGCTGGAGAGGCACTGAAGCTGCCCAGGAACAAGCGGTCCTGGCATGGCTGGCTATCTGACTCCTCGGCACACTCCTGCTCCCTGGAGTGAAAGATCTCCACCGTCACTCTTTTAGATGCAGAGAAAGAAGGCAGTCTGAAGCGGAGCTCAGACAGCTGGACATCGTCATCAGCAGAGATGGAAGACATGTCAAAAGTGACACTCCATTTATCCCCAATCTGATGGCAGCCTGTAAAACAAAAACAGGAGAAATCAAATATTGGAACAAGACCATACATTAAATGAAAGATTAAAAAAAAACTATAGTTTGCTGATTAATGTTTCAGAAATGTTTTATTTTCAGTAAATTAAAATCTTTCTCATGTAAATGAATCTTTCTGAAAGTCAAATCAGTATGGAAACCTATCTATATTCAGTAGACTTAATTTAGGATTATTGCATAAACAATAAAGACGCCAGACACCCGTTCTACTAAAGGTAAATGAGGCGAGCAAGTTAGGAGTATTGAGCTAAATGCTGTACAGTATCACTTGAGCGTTGCCAGCAGATGCGCTTGAAAAAACATTGCGCACTAACAGACTAAACGTGCCAAATGTCAAAACACGGCAGAATGTATATTGAACTCCTTTGCAGTCACATTTGTAACAGACGTCTGGGCTAACCAATACACACATTCACAAAAAAAACTTTAAAGTCTAATAAGCACCCTAACACACTGTAGGTTGTAAAAGAGGACATCTGATGAGGGTGGGTAGATAACCTCTCTATTGACTGATCAAGCGTAAAGTCTGAAACCCTGCTTCCTGGAGTCCATCAGCTGCATAGCAAAGTGTATTGAGACACACGATGGTGCTGAACTTAAACAGGCATCTCGAACACATTACAAGTAATCCTTAAACCTAATGTATGTATATAAAATAACAAGAATATACAGAAAGAGAATACTTACAGCACTGGCTATCAGTACACTAACAATCACCCACAGACGGTTATTAACAATAAAAGTAACAGAAATATATGAATATGGCTATCGCGGCACTGACAATCAGCTATAGACGTTTGCTGTCGTACATTATTGGTGTTAACTCAAAGACAACCACTTTGGCACAATTTAAACAAGAGTATTAATTTATTATAAAACGACTTACTTTTTGCCACCAGGCTCAGTACCGAATTGGATTCCTTTAGAACTGGGTTGTCCTCGGCTTGACCCGCTGCTGCCGCTGCTGCTGCGACCCTGCCAGCGGATTTGACGGAGCGGTAGAGGTGCATCATGTACCTCGGATACCTGCTCTTGTGTTGAGACCCCCTGTGTCGCAAAGCGGGAGCAACCGCAGCATTGGAGACAGAGCTATTGCCATCTAAGGTGGGATGTACCTCAACACCATACATGTCCCCGTCTTCCATTGTGTCCGTTACCGGAACAGGGTCCGTAGTGACGATTCCTGTCCAAAACATAGCAAGTCCGCCGAGGAAGAAAATGAAAATGTGATGCTCCATATTCTGGGTTTTGTTGTTGTGCTTGTAGACTTGCCTGGGAAAGAGAGCAGCTTGCTTCTTGTCCCTTGCTTGTCCTCAGCTCAAGTGAAAGTGTGGGTAGGCTTGGCTAGAAGACCATTTATAGCAGACAGTTGGTCTTTGATGAACCTCCCCATCAACAGTTCTTTGATGTTCCTGGACGGGTATTACTTTCCATTTAAAGGCCACACCTGTCAAGTTCATTGTCTTAAAAGTCAGTCCTCTTTTCTTATTCATAAGCAACAAAGCAGGTATCGTTTGTATGATTAAGACAGGTGAACAACACATTTATGAAATAAATGATAAAAGTATGGACACATGCTAATGAAAGCTTTTGATTGTGATGAGAGCTAGCCGTGGATCCGTTCATTATTTGGAGATCTAATAAAATTTACATTCAGTTTTTATAATTCGAAAAAAGATGAAAATAAACTCATTATCAACACAGGTACTCAAACCCAAGTGTTCGTAATTAAACGCACTAATATTGTTATCTAAAAAGTATATTATTGCTGATAAAGGTTGGAAGCACAGGAATAAGCACGAAAAAGATTCAACTTGTTATCACTTAAGGTTATTCTTTAAATGAATATCAGTGGAGTTCGGAACCTTTTTTTCTTTTTTTAAGAAGTGAAAATGAGCTCCCTAAAGCTCCCTAATTTGATCAATGCAGCATTTTGCAATTTTACAAAAACAAAACCCTTGCAACAAGAAATATATCTCTCTCGGGTGAAGTTCCTGCCAAAAACGTTGATTTTCCCTCTCAAAATTGATGACAAAACTGAGCCTTCAGTTTGTTCAGTATTAATCACTGAAGGATGAGATACATAGGCAGTTTACCGCTGAGGTGATCATCTTCTATTGATCCCTAACGTTTCTTTATTGTACACATTGCCCACACCATATACTTACTGACCCACAACGTCATTGTACACACAATAAACGCACTTTACAGTGTCGGTGCTTTGATGTCCAAAGGTATCAAACAGCTGGAAAAAGATCACAAAGATCAAACAATAAATCTTCCTGTGCGCTTAAACTCGCTCAGAACTTGGGTGCTTCTTCAAACGCGTAAAATATTTCTAGTACCTCAAAAGCTCTAACACCAAGATTTTGGAATACTGTAAAATGTCTCAAATGGGCTGCGAGGTAGCCGCCTAGAACTCCAACTTACGGTTCTATTCTTTCGATGCCCTTCTGCAACAGTGTTTTTTAATGTTTACAGACTAAGGCAGTGCCACAGATTTCATATGAATTCAAAAGCGTTTAAAGGTTCATGCGAGGTTCAGAATACTGCATCTTCATTATCTGTTAGGCTACAATGAAAGTTTAATAGCTAAAGAAATGTGTTAATATATACAATCTGAATGCTTAGCAGTGATTTTTGTCTCTTATTGATAGTAGTGGGTTCACAAACAAAAAACAAGAACTACACGATTACACAGTTGAAAAACTATGCTTTGTAAACTTTCGGAGATACCACATAGCTACTGTAAGAATATGTGAATATGTAAATTATTGAATTATACTCTTAGCAAATGCTTTAAAAGGTCAAATTCAATTCAATTCAAGTATCGGCACAATCACTCTAATTTTGCTAATTAGCTACTTCTCTCAGGATCAACAGAGCGATTTAAAAGATTTTTGATTTAGCTTCACAATGTCACCAAATTCTCTCTATTTAAATAGACTAGATAAAAGAGTCAAATCGCGTTTAAGGGCAGATATGTGCATATATAATGAATATTAAAAAAAATTCTGCAAAGTCAGATTCCTACCACTCTTGAATTTTACCGTCAACGGTTTTACATCGTTGATCCGTTAATGATTACAAACTAAGTACCACAATTAAACTAAACATTTTAAACGTTTTAAACATTGAGCACCGAGCTTTTTAATTTTGGGGTATTTTTAACGTCCTGCTACCAACCTATCTGCAATGTAGATATATAATATTCCGTCGTCTTAAAAATATTTATCATTTTATGCACTTTGTCATGTGCACCTTGTTGACTACTTGTTACAAAATGTACACAGTAAGCTAAATAAAAATCAAGTTACTCCACGAACCAGTCATTTCACTGAATTAAAACAGTCGTTATCATCTTCCGAGAAAAACGCATTTCAAACATTTTTTAACTCAGTTCATCTTGTATAATCCAAGTACTGTCTATATAAATTAATAAAACGAATCAAGTTTAAATCTATAAAGCGCCAGAGCTTCTTAATTTCAGGTTTAATTTGTTTCGATTAGTCAATGTTTGAAAAAATAACTTCTCAATAAAGCTGACACTTGTTAAAACAAAGTTTTATTAAAAAAAGTATTTGGATTTGGAACAGAAAAAGTATAATTATAATCTCTTTCTATAGTACATGCCCCACGTTGTATTTTAATATAAATTATCAAACCTGTTTTTCACGGGAAAAAGCTAGAATTTCTATCATGTCAGAAGCTGTTGAAGATCAAGGGGACGATTAAGATTTATCAAATGAATACAGCCATTAAGAATGGTACATGGCAGAAACGCTTTAACAGCATTATACTGTGACATAAGTATTTAAGCTACAGAGTCGATATTTTATTAAGATGTCAATTGATCATTTTGATCGCATTAATTAACTACTACCAAACGAACTGATGAAACGAAAGTCCTATGGTCTCGTTTGAGATCCTTTTGTTCGTAGAAAAAAGGCTTCCCTCGCCCTCTTGCGGTGTAACCTTTTAACTACATTCCTAAAGCTGAATCATGAAATCAAGGGGAGTCCAAAAACAACAACGCAGAGAACATGAACAATAGCACAGATCAAAGAATCGCAGTTCATTGTAAACGATCACATTAGGAAGTCCTTATAGCGCACATTTGTTGTCTGTTTCTTAGTCCACCCTGGCCCATTTATTGATAGCTTGAGTGGAATTAGTATTATCATTGGTTTTAGATTATTGATGTTGCCAAGTCTCTGCTCTTTGGGGGTTATACACCCTGTATATAGACTACAGCCCTCCCCAGCCAGGGTATAAGGTATGTCCTCCCTGAACAAATACACAGTCCTAGCAGTATTAATGCACAGACCTACAATCGTTCTGACTGGTTATTTCAGGTGTGACAACTGAAGAAGGCTCCACAGCCAAAACATTGTGTCCCTTTTCTTTTCCTTTCAGCATGGAATAAGCCTTTACCTGTTCCTTAAATAAAATAATACTGCATATTAGAAATGCATAGTTAGCAAACTGAATGTGAATCACCATTAATATTTTTTTCATTTTCTTTGGTTGCATATATCATGGCTCTCTAATAAAAATTAGAGGCTGCTTTCCTTAGAACCAGATTTTCCAGGCAAGATAGTAAGCGATGTTTAACACATGACCTTGGTCATATGTTTCCTTAAGACAGGGGTGATACCCATGGATGTGTGAATTATTAATGTAGTGCCCATCAATTGAAAGGGTGATAAAACTGAACCAAGTAATTTAAATTAACTAGTCTAATTAGAGTTCAATTATGTATATGCTTATGAAAATAATTACCAGAACTAACTATAGGGTTAACTTACTTGTCTGAGTCATTTAAACAATCAACAACAGAAATGGAAACACAGAGTGTGATACGACGTATTGAGAGTTTCAGGAGGCTTTTGTTCAAATTATCCAAAAAGGACAAATTCAGGAATTTTATTGTTACAATAGTTTAATAATCCAATATACAGTACATGCATCCATTTGTGTAACATTGTTACAAAAATATAAATCTAAAATGTGAAGCAAAACACATTGCAAGTTACTACAATCCAATTTAAAGACATAAACTGACAAAACAATTCTGAAACGGTGACATAATTAATTGGGTTTCATACCCAAATACTCAAGCATTATCCACAGGATATAAACCAACCATTACTGATTGAGAGCTTCAAACTTGCAAAGCTTTCTCTGAGTTGTAAATAATAACCAATAAAATATATGTATATCTAATATACAAAGTATTCACAATTCTTCTTTATAATTACATGTAATTATTAGAAACTACATTTATAAAAAAACATATATTGCATCTCTGACATTTGATAAATGTTCACTTAAAGTTTACACAAGAAAAAATCAAATACAAGAGCTTTTCACCTTTGCGATTCACCTCTGCCAGGATATTAATGAAAAGTCAGTTTACTCTCTGCAAAAAAACATATTAAAAAAAATATTATTCTGCAAAATTGTTTAAAGTAACCCATACCTAGTTAGCAAGGCTAAACCTAAAGCAAAAAGTGCAGTACTTCATAAAAATACTTCTCACTCCATTTCAGACTGCTTTAGTTTCTATTTCTTCTGGCTTACTCAGACCAAGCCTCTGTGGCTCATTTCATGAATAAATATAGGAAATGAGTCTCCTGGGTCTTGTGCTTCTGAATTCTAAGTGAGTCCGAGGTGAATTTGAGTCCCTCTGTGATGCCGTTAAGGGGTTCTGCTCAGTGACAGCCACACTCCTCCACCATCATTTCCTCATGATGTCGCAGTACCAGCTCTCCATTCTCGTAATAGAGCATCGAAAGTGGGCCAAGTCTTGAGGGCACGCAGGATATACTTGGCACTTTGTCTGGATGGTACAGTTTCACCAGACTCTGCAGGGAGAAAAGAAAAAAAACTTGTTACTACAAATAGAAATTGCCCTATCGTATTAAACACACACCTTAGTGTAGAAGCTTTGACACAGGACAGTACAAAACACATGTGTTGGTAGCAAACTATGTGAAGGTGAAGCAAAAACATTTAAAATTATTGCAGCACTGAAGGTGATAAATAATGCATAGATGTGTAGAATGAGCAGAAGTATGTTTGTCATGTGAAACTACAAGGATAACATATTTGTTTCTGTGATATATTTTTTTTAAATCCTGTTTTATAGAAATTTGCACTTTTATTTACGTTGAATAAAAGGAGATTCATTCATAACATTGAAATCGGTGGACAAGGTATCGATTTTGATAACTTAATTTCAAGTGAAAACTTTGGATATCTCATAGTATTAGGGATTGTTTTGTAAATATAAAGAAATTAAATATGAAATATTATAGATAATAAATCCATTCATAACAGTATTATGTACCTGCATGTATGCATGGTTGGTAGGATTAAATGTCTCGTCCACAGGACAGGGACACTCTCCCTCGCACCTGAAGGCATTGTACCGTTTCGGGTGCACGATCCACTGGTTCCAGCCAATCTGGTCAAAGTCTACCCACATGTCCACCTTCCTGCACAGTGGACTCTTGGGGCTCTCAGGTGTGGGAGCGGTGCTCCCAACATTACCGGCCAACTTCACTCTCTCCTGCTCATTCCTGTTCCTCTTCTGTCGCCTGCCTGACTGGTCCCCAACTTTGTCCAGGGTGATATATTTGGAGTGCTCCACAGTGTGGATAAGGGTTGGCATACCCGTTTCCTCTCTGGAGTGGTTGTGTTTGGAGAAGACTACCATCATGACTCGGTCCACAGTCTTATGGTAGACTTTCCTCTCGCTGCTGCTCTCAGTGCTGTTGGCGTGGTGCTTGTGCTGTTGTCCCTGCTCCAGCCTCTCCTTGTGTTCCTCTTCTGGCACTTCATGGAGGGGATCCCCTATGACTGCTGCCCCCTCTCTGTTCACAAAACTCTCCCCCTGGTGGAGCCAGTACTTGAGCAGGGCTGTGACGTTGAAGATTTTCCAGGATGAGTTAGAGTCAGCTGGAGAGGCACCGAAGCTGCCCAGGAACAAGCGGTCCTGGCACGGCTGGCTATCTGACTCCTCGGCACACTCCTGCTCCCTGGAGTGAAAGATCTCCACCGTCACTCTTTTGGATGCAGAGAAAGAAGGCAGTCTGAAGCGGAGCTCAGACAGCTGGACATCATCATCAGCAGAGATGGAAGACATGTCAAAAGTGACACTCCATTTATCCCCAATCTGATGGCAGCCTGTAAAACAAAAACAGGAGAAAACAAATATCAGAACAAGTTCACAATTTAAAAGAAACCTAGAAGTTTGATTACTTCTCACTTAAATACGTACATACGTATCTTTTTGAAAGACAAATCAGGATGGAGACTTGATTATACCCAGTGAATTTTAATTAAGATTATTAAGTCATTGTTAAAATTTAAAGACTCCAGATATACGTTCTGCTAAAAGTAAATGAGGCGAGCAAGCGAGGAGGATTGAGCTAAATGCTGTACAGTATCACTTGAGCGCTTCCAGCAGATGCGCTTGAGTAAACATTGTGCGCACTACCAACAGACTAAACGTGCCGTATGTCAAAACAAGGCAGAATGTATATTGAACTCCTGTGGAGTCACATTTGTAACAGACGTCTGGGGCAATACACACACTCACAGAAATCTTTAAAGTCTAATAAGCACTCTAACACTCTGTAGGTTGTAAAGGAGAAGATCTGATAAGGATGGATAGATAACCACTCCATTGACTGATAAAGAGTGAAGTCTGAGACCCTGCTTACTCGAGCCCATCAGCTGCATAACAAAGTTTATTTAGACACACGATGATGCTAAACTTAAGTACAAGTAACCCTAAAACCTAATTTATGTATATATAATAACAAGACTATACAGAAAAATAATACTTCCGGTGATGGCTATCAGTACACTAACAATCACTCACAGACGTATGTTAACAATAGAAGGAATAAACAGAAAAGGAAAATATGAATATGGCTTACGTGTCACTGACAATCAGCCATAGACATTTGTTGCCGTAAATTATTGTTGTTTAACCAAAAATAACTTCTTTTTACATAATTTAAACAAGAGTATTAATTTATAATAAAACGACTTACTTTTTGCCACCAGGCTCAGTACCGAATTGGATTCCTTTAGAACGGGGTTGTCCTCGGCTTGACCC